ACACTCTTGTGACCTGCTATTTCTGGGGTGCCTTGATAGTCGAAGCAGACCTTGTGCTGTTGAAGCTAGAGAGGTGAGCAGTCTAAGTCTGATTCCCTGTAAAGTCTTCTTTGTTGACACCCACCCCTTGGCGCTCGTATGACCTTATACAGTTGCGAGCGCCGTAAAACCCTCTACTATAAAAACGAAACCACAAACAAACAAGACTTTAGCATTTAAAGTAAGGTTTTTGTTCTGTCCGGCAACAGTGTGCAAGGCCATCGAACTTCTCAGCCACTTGGTCGTCGGTCGTGACATCAATGCAATACTGAAAGACTTTGCTTCCTTCTGGCGATCTCTTACAAGCGAGGATCAGATTAGATGGGTAAGTCTGCAGTATCCAAGGAAGGTACCAGTCACTATCTAGCTGTACAATACATTTGGTTGCTTATTTGATTTCTTACTGGATAGTTCCATTTTTATCATGTCTGTCTGTTGTTTAGAAATTGTTCTTTTTATTCTCCATGGACAGATATGGAATTCATTAATACCAACTGCAGTGAGGTTACTGAACATACAGTGCTGTAAATGAAACAGAGTGAAGGAGAGAGAGAGAGAGAGAGAGAGAGAGAGAGAGAGAGAGAGAGAGAGAGAGAGAGAGAGAGAGAGGGGGGGAGGGAGGGAGGGAGACAGAGAGAGAGAGAGAGAGAGAGAGATAGAGAGAGAAAGAGATAGAGAGAGAGAGAAAATGCTGATGAATTAGAGTTGTTTTGAGTGCATAGTACTTATGTCCTTTCTATTTATGTGTTTGCATGGGTCCACACGTACTTTGTAACACCACTGTCATCAGAAATGACCAAGACAAATTTCTCCCTGTGAGATGAATAAAGGTTGTTATTGCTATTGCCATTGCCATTATGATTTATTTCTTAATATGATCAGCAGATCACACTGTTTAAGCCTACTTTGAATTTCAGATGTACATTAGTTTATCGGTATGGTTGTTTGTTTTAATTCTCATGTACTCCCGCTATGTTCAGTTTGTCTGTTGTGATTTTGTTCTTAATTGCAATCCTCTGGGCGGTGCTACTGACCGAAGTGTCTTTAGGCTATTCCTAAAGGGGGGACATTAACCTGTTCTTATGCACAGTAGAATTGTAAATGGGCTGATTTATCAACGTCATGCTCATAACTGTGCCTGAACTGCAACAGTGAACTGCTGCTTTTTCTTTCCTAATCCTTACTATCGTCATTTTTCCTCCATTTCTTTTGTATGTTTGTGACACTCTTTTGACCCTCTATTTCCGGGGTGCCTTGATAGTCGAAGCAGACTTTGTGCTGTTGAAGCTAAAGAGGTGAGCAGAGTAAGCCTGATTCCCTGTAAAGATTTCTCTGTTGACATCCACCCCTTTACGCTCATATGTCCTTATGCAGTTGCGAGCGCCGTAAAAACTCTACTTAAACTAAAAACTGTTCATACTTGTCCTCTTTTGTTGGCTGACTTTGGCTTTCTCTTCCAGCTGGGACCCGAGAAAGGTGTGATGCACATGGCTGTGGCCGGGATTGCTAACGCAGTGTGGGATTTGTGGGCCCGAAAGGAAAACAAGGTTAGTGTCAATTGCAATATTTTCATATTTGATTTGGCACTGAACACGCATATATATATGTGAGGCAGCGTGGTGGAATCAGGCTCTCGTCAAAATAATCAAAATGAAGAAACTTGCATTTTTCCGCAGGTTTGTTAATTTTTATTAACTTTTTATTTTTTGGCTCATCACCTTTCATGCCTTTTGAAGAACTGATTTCTGCGTGAATTTTTTTGAAAAACGTTGATTATAGACAAAGAAAATGTAAATTTTCAGTTACCACGGACTCTTAATCTAAAGAAATAACTAACCTTTGGCGGCCATTTTTTCACTAATTTTGCCTCTGAAAACAGGTGACCCCCATCTCCCACTTTCGTAAATATCTCGATTTGTATTCAAGATAAATGGATACTTTTTTTCATCCAAATAAAGACAAGTCAACAAGCTTTAAGATAATACCAATAACTCCACATGCCAAAAAATTGAAGAGAGCCTGATTCCACCACGCTGCCTCACATATATATATATATATATATATATATATGTGTAGTTAGAAGTGAGAAAGGATATTTATACACCTATCAGTTTAGTGATTTATTATATACTTTATTAGTGGGAAAAGATATATTTATACGCCTGTCAGCTCAGTGATTTATTATATTATATATGTACTTATTAGTGGGAAAGGGTTTTGCATACGCCTGTCAGTTTCAGTGCTGTGATAAGTTAAATATCACTCTCAGAGGAAAAATGAGATGACCAAAGACAAACATGTCTCAGGATACCGTAGAACCATTGTGAAGTTTAAGTAAAAAAACAAAACCAACCAGTTCAAATTAATGGCAACGTGACCACCCATTGTCAATGAGAGAAGTTGTCATCTTAGACTGGTGGTCACCTTGGACAGTAGATCTAGTGTCATAATGACATAGCAAGAAAAAGGGGGGACTGGGCAAGTGGGAAGTGATTGTCTGTCCCCGCAGAATTATGCAACTTTAGATGGCAAAATTATGCAAATTTAGTTGGCAAAATTATGCAAGACAAATGCAAAATTATGCAAAAATTATGCAAGTTACCATAACGCCATTCAAGACATGTTTTGTACCTTTTCAACAAGAATGTGAATGTTTTATGTACAGTAAAACTGAAAACAGAATAGGGCCTGTGTATTAGCCTTTATATCAGTATCAGTAATTTTTTGTGTTTTTGGAAAGAAAACAATACTCATCAGTTAGAAAAAAAAGCAACCCAAAAATATAATCTCTGTAACTTTCAGCTGTAGATCTATAGAGAAAAGAATTTTTTTTTTTAAAAACACCAAAAAACAAAAAAACTCTGATGCTGGCACATCACTAAAACCAGGTAAACCTGTCAAACATGAAACATCAGCAGACATGAGAACAACTTTTGATGGATTGAAACATTGAACATACTCAAGGAACAAAATATCCCTGACTCATAACCAACCCCCCCCCCCAATCTTCTAACAAAGGAAATACCCAACTTGTCATACGGTGATTACTTCCCTTTAGTCATATGTGAAGTCAGTCTTGTTGTATGGATGTGAGACATGGAACGCATCCCATATGTGCATAAAGAGGATCCAGGTTTTCTTGAACAAGTGTCTGAGGAGGCTGCTGAGGATCAAATGGACAGACAGGATCACCAACGAGGAAGTATTAAGAAGAACCAGACAGAGCCCGGTCAGAGATGAGGTGGGAAGAAGACGTTGGCGATGGATTGGACACACTCTCAGGAAGTCAAGCAGCTGCATAACAAGAAAAGTGTTAGATTGGAACCCACAGGGTAAAAGATCAAGGGGAAGACCTCGTGGAACCTGGAGAAGAGTAACGGAAATGGATGTACAAAAAAGTGGGAAGATGTGGAGTGACATCAAGCGACTAGCCCAGGATAGGGAAAGGTGGAAAGTGTTTGTTCGTGGCCTATATCCTGCTCCAGGGTGAGAAAGGCAATGATGATGATGGTCATATGCCTAGGCGTTAAATAATTGTTTTGTGTAAAAATGAAAAAAAAAGTTAAAATACGCAGGGAATTCAAAATTATGCAATTGTTGAGAATTACACAATAAAACGCAGCCGCACAATCGCCTAATCCAGCGGGAACAGTTTGTACTGGTGAATGTCTCGCACAGTTGGTTGCTTGAGCAGGTTTGACCATGGATTTTTTTACGCAGACAGGACTGGTAGCTTATATATTAAAGTAAATTTGATGGGGGGCCTCGATAGATGCCTTTTGCACTTTGTTTCTTAGTTTTGTGGAGCTCCTTTGGAGTATACAACAATCTCATTCATGTCCTGTGTCTTTTGTTTCTTTTTTCAGCCTCTTTGGAAACTGTTGGTTGATATGGTAAGAAATTGTGCTTCTAAGATTGTAAACCGTGCATTGATCAGCTAAATCCCAACAAGGATTTTTGCTTTTGAAAAGTGTTGTAGTGTAACACACACAGCCTGGTTGGTTCACACATTTGGTTGTGACCATTACACTCTTTTAATGTGAAGCGTGCTGACAAAATGAGTTACTTCTCAGATTCAAGACTTATGCTAAAAAATATAGGCCTATCACGCTTTTAGGTGAAGTTTTTATAATTTATTAGCATGGAATAATAAAAGGCGTCATATAGTTAGGGAATAATATGGCAATAGTTAAAGTTAAACAAATTTGACATTTGTGTCGATTTTTGGCCAATATCTTCCTTTTGTAGATTGCGAGAAGTAACCCATTTGTCAGCACGCCTCACAAACGTCAACCTATTTCCAAGCAAAGATTTTGACATTGCTACTTTCATTATCATTTTTACACAAGGATAGGTGTCAAATTCAATGCTGCATTATGATGTTTGGTGACAGACTATTTGGTATCAGTCACAATATTTCTTTTTGTTGTTGTTTTTTTTGTGTGTGTGTGTGTCTTTGCTTTTATCGAAACTGGTCCTTTTGATTTTTAATTCTCTTCACTGTCGTTTTCTGCTTTGCTAATGAATCATTGCCGATATTGGCTTTGGCTGTTGATCTCTGCGAACTAAAATATTTAGTGCCGTACATGCCTTGCCAGACATATCGTGGTCTCTGAAGAAGGTGGTTTTGACTGAAGTGTCTTTAGGCCATTCCCAAAGGGGGGATGTTTCTCGTTCAAGCACAGTAGAATTGTAAATGGGCTGATTCATCATGTCACGCTCATAACTGTGCCTGATCTGCAACAGGGAACTGCTGCTTTTTCTTTCCTAATCCTTACTATTTCGTATGTTTGTCACTCTTGTGACATGCTTTTTCCGGGGTGCCTTAATAGTGGAAGCAGACCTTATGCTGTTGAAGTTAGAGAGGTGGGCAAAGTAAATCTGATTCCCTGTAAGGACTTCTCTGTTGATACCCACCCCTTGACGCT